GGTTCCCTTTATTCTTTTGATATTCACAGTAGATATGATAAGGAAGGTAGGTGAGAAAAAATGGCTAACATTCTGTCATCCATTGAGCTTCTTTACTAAGATTGTCCATGCCCTAAGAGCTAACAAAGAGGCCCTCCTCCAGGAATCCTGCAGGAGAGTGTGTCATTAGGCTGGACATGCAGCCTGTTAGAGAGGACAGGTCTGATTTATAGGTAAAGAATGCTGTCCATCAACACTTAACACCTGGATAACAGATTGAGTAGGCACAGAGGTCAGTCTTCCTCAGAGTAGTATGACATACTGCATTTCTATTTTAATTAAAGTAATTATTTCTAAGTTTGCATTTATGCATATGTAATTTTTATGCAAGTCTGCATCCTTTTTTGGGTGATACATAGGTGGTTACCCTATGTGGTATACTTACAAAAAGAGGGTGTTTTCTGCCATCATTTATTTATTTATTTATTTTTATTGTGAATTCCAAACCAAAACCAAAATCCAAGGGGAAAAAGGGGAGAAAAAACAAGAAAAAAAATCAAAATAACATGTTGCCACCCTCTTGCTTAAGCTTAAGTAAATCTATTACAGTGAGCTATGTCCTCCTATATTTTTTAAGTATAGCAAGGTACACTAGTAGAGGGTATACTGTTGTTATTGTTTATAGTTAAGCATAGACTTCAACAAAGGCAGCTCATATATCCATGCAATTGTATATCTGTCAATTTCAAAATCATAACTTTCATCAAGTCCTCCACCTTTGGTGTTATTCCACGTACTCATTTATCCTTCCAGGGTTGTAGTAGTAAGTGTTTAAATATTAAAAAGGTGCAGATTATCCATTTAGGTTGACTTTGCATTAAGTTCCAAGAGGCAAGCAGATAGTTAAGAAAAGCATGTATGCCTGTAAATATTAAAGAACTTTCCATTATGAAATTTATTCAATTTATTACTTCATCTTTAAAGGAAGTAGGGATGAAGTTATTACCAATATGTATGGGTAACAGAAGTGTTAGCAGTGTTGCATTTTCAACAATTGGCAGATTTAATTAAGACCTTACTGAAAAGACATTCTGGCAGCCAATATATTTGAAACAGTATGTTTTGCAGAATTAAATGTAACCTAAGATCTGTTACCTCTTCTGAGACCGATGCCAATGAGGCACTCTACTGATAGGGCAAAAAGGGCATGCCAATTTATTATTCCATTCTTGCTTAAGGATACTTCGTGTTTCGTATTTGCTCACCAATAGTAGATATTGGTAAACATGGACTGTGGGTCATTGTAGCCATTCAACCTCAGCATGTCAAAGGGGTCTCTGAAGCTCATAGAGCAGCAGGGTTGAGCCTAGATTCTAACAGCTGCTTCAGTTGCCTTGCCATTTAGCTGTAGCTGTCAAATTATATTTAACATGTAAAACAGAGAATGGCATAGTTATCACTGAGATCTTCAAGCTGATCCAAAATAAAAATTAACCTGTCCATCCTGGTTTGCCAAGCAACATTTTCTTGCCAGTCTTGAAGTCTGAATTTCCTCACAGAGTTAATTTTGCATGGGAAAATAAATCAAACTGCAGTTGATGTGAAACTATGCACCGCACCTCTCCTGCTGCTGTACCTTTGGAGCCTCCCTGTCTGTTTTGGCCAGCAACACAGCACAGTCCATTTCGGAAGGGGATCCAAGCACGAAGATTCCACCCTAATCTGAGCAGCAAAGACCAGCATGTAGCAGAAATCAGCAAAGAGGCCAGTGATACAAAGAGAGATTAGAGAAGCCACATCCACCTTCTTTAATCCAAGGATGCCTCCTTTCCGAGGGTGCCCATGGTAGAATGGGACCCTGTTGGTCATGGTGCCCCAGTTCTGGAATGCCGTCTTCAAGGAGGCTCGAATGGTGTTGACTCTGTAAGCTTTCTGGCAGCTGGTCAAGAGCTTATTTGCCCAGGAATGTTTAAAAGGAATTTGGTTCTATATTTATGTGTTTTGGCTGGCACTGTACATGATTGCTCACAGCCCTCCAAACTTGGAAAGTGATGGGCATCTAGTGGAGGGTGGGAGGAGCACAAGGTGAAGATTGCCCTCTCCCTCCAAAAAGAGAGGATGAGGCACTGCCTGGATTCTTTGCAGAAAAGAATCCTCCCTTCCTCAGGCGTCCAGATATCCACCTTGCCCCCCTCCCCCTGTGCCTGCTCTGAATATGGACTTCTATCCTTGAAGCTGCTGCTGAACATTAGAAGGAACTGCCCCAGCTGTGAGAGCAGAGGGAAGGTCCCAAAAGACAGAGCCCCTCTAGGCCTGGGAGGGCTTCTCTATGGCTGCAGTGTATTTTCCCATGCCTGGCCAGGCAGTGTCTCCCAGGGATTGTGGTTTCTTTAAAAACACGGCTGCTTAATTGTTACATTGTTCCTTGTTGCTATTGTAGTCTTCAATGTATAATGTTTATATGCTTTAGTTTTATTTAGACTAAAACATATAAACCGAATGACGCATGGTTAAGAATTTCTGGGGGAGTATGACTAAGTTAGGTCTCTCCACCCCTCCTGCACTTGATCCCCTGAACATCCCTGGGCTCATTTTACACTGCAACTTTGCACTAGGAGTGTGTGCCCTGTTGCCATGAGTGTTTACTCAGAACTGAAATACTGAGTTCTGATCATTAGATGTATATGTTTATGATTAAGGACTATTACTGGGATAATTCTTTCGGCAGTTATTGTTATGATCTTTCTTTATGCCATGATAACTGAAAACAAACCTGTCAAAAGTGCACAGAGGATTGCTACCTTGAGGGAGTATGTATGGGAAGTCTTCTCACACATGCACAGAACATGTTGAGATCTTAACATGGTATATCAGAATACTGTTGCCTGAATAAAATGGTAGAATTTAGTGGTAGAAGGGCTGTATCTATTGAAAGACTCAGACCTCAGACATTGCCTAGTTTTGGAGGGATAAGAAAATGGAAGTACTTGGTTCACACGTCACAACAGCAGTTCTTGGATTTTCTACACCAGGGACAAGAGGAATGGGCATCTGTTGGGTGAACTCTAGGTTGCTTAACTCATAAATAGTCCTGAGTTTTGGGGTTCACACATCATGGAACAGCCCAAGGATGGGGTGTTTTGGCTTGCTTCTTGAAGTCAGAAATGACAAATGTGTGTCTCTCATGTTCTGCCTGTCCCCACAGTTCCTGAGTAAAACAACCCAAGAAAGGCCACCATGATGTGCAAATCTGATCAGTGTATCTTGACTCATTTTGTCAGGAAATAAAGGAGTGCCCAGAATAGCTCCGTCCCATTTCTATCATTGGCTTGATTAATAAGTGGATTTTTTCCCTTCTCCCCAGCCATAGCACAGTCACAGCATCAAAGCGGCATTTTCCAAATTAGTCACAACCATTAATTATTCACTGTAGCGTTTAGCATTTAGCTTTTACAAAATAGCATTTGTAACTAAATTGATTTGATAGCACAATTGTATAAATGTCTGCTCAGAAGTAGCGATGCTGCTGATTTTCGTTCTTTGGTCAAAACTCGTGTTCATAATGCTTGCTTTTGCAGTGAGCTTCGATCTCTATCTGATAAATAGAGTAACCCCTGTTTCGGTTACCATTGTTTCCCTTAACCACAGTTGACTGTGCTCTGAAAGAAGTAAACAGAATATTCCAGGGAGAGGGAGTGGGCCCATATAGACAGTGTTGCATCTCTCCACAGACAGCCACATGGGGAATGCCACTGACCTGGCTGCCACACACCCAGCCAGCCGGGGCCGGCCTGCAACAGCATTGTACCACCAGGCTAATGGGGGGCGAGGCTGGGGGGAAAAGAGGGAGAGAGGAGGGGGAGGAGGGCAGAGAAAGGGGGGAGAGGGGGAGGGAGAGAGGGGGTGATGGGAGGAGAAAGAGAGCAAGAGAGGGATGGAGAGAGAGAGGGAGAATGAACAATCTGGGTGGGGGTAGAGATAGTCACAGTTTTCCCATTTTTGTGGGGATCCTGTACCCCTAACCACTGCAAAGATGGAGGGCCAACTGACTGTACAGTATATATAGTATTTATCGCTATCCAGTTTCATCCTCTGAGGGGACTTATAACCTATGCCCCACCCATACGGGGGTCCTAATATACATTATTAGTTTCAGAATAGATTGTGAGTTTAGGTACATGTGCAGTCTGCTTCTGAATGCTGGCATTTCTGTACATGTGCTAAATTGATTACTGTAACCTTTTTCTTTTAGGAGGAAATATGATGATGTCATTGTAACCCTTTAGGGAAAGAATGGCATTTTATTTTTTTTCCAGAAATCCATCATGCTTGATCAAAACAAGCTGTAAAGGTTGTATTTACCTTCAGATGCTGATCTGTTTTTCTTTCCTCCATATATAAATTGCTTTATTTGAGTAAACATTATGTAGAAAGGCCAATGTGGAAACAACTAATCAGGAAGGTATATGTAACAGGGTGATTTATGTCAGCATGTACATTATATGATTCCATACTATAGCTCCAAAGACACAATTTGATAATGCACGGAATCTAATACACAGAATGAGATCTTAAATTAAAGGATTCTCATCTCAGATCACATGGATCCATTTCCAAGGAAATACCAAATTCATATGACATATGTTTGAAATAAATCCCACTGAGTTCTCAGGTAAGTGGTTATAGGATTGCAGCATAAACCTCAAATATTTTCCTTCAAATGCTGTACCCATTTGGCGTATCACTGTAGTTTTACAAAATTCTTTCCCAAGAAAGCTGCTGATCTGCATTCTCCCCAGTCTGACAGTTAACCACTTCACCATAGGATCAGTTGGTGGTAAATAAATTTCTTAAAGAGTATGGATATGTGTTTGCCGTACCTGGATAAAGAACCCACTCTATTCACAGGCTATCTAGAATCTGTTTTGTAATACAGATACACAAAACATTAAAAAATAGCATAAGCACAATTATGTTAGCTACACTGTTTATAACTGATTTTTTAACTCTTTTTTAAATAGCTACTTCTGTGGCAACACAAAATGTCAGCCAAGGGATTCCAGACCATTCGTCCAGCACTGCAGGATTACATACAGAAAATATTACCCCAGGTAATAACCAATTACTCTTTCCCAGTGAGCATATGATTAGTTATTCGTTGTCACATCTATGCTGTTTATAGCAGTAGCAAGGACTGTACAATATGATTGGCAAACAAGATGTTATTGGACTAAAAATCTCCGCTGCTTTCTAAGCAAACTGGAGCCGATGGGAGTCAAACCACAAGTTGAGAACTACAAGTTCTCCAGCCTTACCGAGATAGCCTCACTTCTGGGAAATTTTTATTCTCTCAATTCTCCTGCTCTTTAGAAGAGAAAAATAGGATTCAGGACTCTGTGATGCGTGACTTTTACAGTTAAGAGCGTTATCTGTTTATCACTCGTAGTGGAAGACATATGCCCCTTGTCATGGACTGACAGATTTGCATTTTTCAGTGGAGTCAGGCAGAGCAACAATTTTACTGTAAAGATTGTACAGAAAAAAAGTGGTATGTGATACAGTCCCTGGAGAATTAAAAACGGCACGTAGCTGAATTCTTAATGCTTCAATTCATACAACCTTTCAGTTGGAGCCTGACATGCCATCACCGTGATCTTCTCTGCCTCTTCATAATTGTAGAAAAAAACAAATGTTTTACCTGGGCATGAGCCAGCTTGGAGGCTTCTGGGCTTCAACATGTCCTCAAAGATGTGAACCAGGAGCCAGTTTGCTTTGCCTCTCCCCGTTACTCTCATCAACCTTCCCCACAAAAAAATTTGAGGTAACATGGAAAGCCCAGTGGGTGGCAAGAAGGTGGGCACTTGTGAGTTTCCAAAAAAGAGGACCTGTGTCACCAAAGGAGAAGCACAAATGAGCAAAGAAATATATAAAATAGGCACCTGCTGATTAATATGTATGAATGCACATTGAGAAATAATTATGATAATGTAAATAGAGCTACAGTACTGTGGAAGTCCATGGGCAGTGTGCCTTGGTGCTGTTGGCAGGCAGCTTGAAGGCTCAGCACTACCTTCTGATGGTTCTTCACCTTTTAACTGAACTTAACAACCCTTCAAAAATGGAGATGCTTTCAAAATGGAGGGAAATCCTCTGGTAGCCATTCAAATGGAGGACTGTCCACAGTAAAAGAAACACCTGATGAGTGTAAGTCCCAGCATGCCTGAATCTTCCAGGAGAGCATCTGCCTTAGAGCTCCTTCCATGTGCTAGTGAGCCCAGAATGGTATTTCTTCAAGACAAAAGAGTTTCTGTGGAGGGACACCAGTTATGTATGTGGTTCTGTATGAATGTGAATCAGTCTTTAGAGTATGATCATGCATAACAGGAGAAGCAAAGCAACTGAAAAGTCCCATGAGTATAGCTGGGTCCCTTTGTGACACAAAGTTTGCTTTTGGTGCTTGAGGAGCATTAGAAGTGGGGAAGGTGAGTTGTCATCCTGGCTTCTTTTTATGGACAGAATGCACACCTGCAATGCTGTGGAGCAGCAGTTTAAAAATAACATCTCAAAGCTCTGCACCACCATATCATGGAATCATAGAATAGTAGAGTTGGAAGGGGCCAAGAAGGCCATCGAGTCCAACCCCTGCTGTTGCAGGACACCAAGTTACACCCTTCCACTTAGATGGCTCTCCAGTTCCTTTTTATATGCACAGATGGGTAGGTGGAGGAGAAACGTGACAAAGAGCGCACCATTCTTGTATGGCAGTACCCAGCAAATTGCATCCCCCACCCCAGTATCTTTCTCCTCCTCCTCCTCTCCGCTCTTTCCTTGGTGCTGGCAGCATCAAGGACCACTTTGCTGGGCAGCCGTGCCAGCACTTGTGAGAAAGAAAGAGGCTTGAGTGGAGCTTTCTGCCCACAAAACCCACTGAAATCAGTTCAGAGAAAGTGTGAAAACCAAAAGGAAGAGGATAAAAAGAAAGCAGGGGTAGGGAAAACTTTTTAAACCATTTCTACCAGTAAGAGTTACAATACCACAGGCTTAGAACACACATGTCTTTGTAGCACATGGAAACCACAAATACCAGAAAAACTGTCATGGGGATAGTTTGGAAAACAATGGAGTATTGAGGGAGATATATTGGGGAAAGTGCAGTTTGGGGTGTGCTTACGCACCAGGAAACTAGGTATTATAAGGATGGTAAAACCCTTTGTATGAGCAGCCCTATGTACTCCCATTGAGCTTGGGCTGTCCAGTGGTCATTGGATCTACTTTACAGAGGATGATCCTCTGTTTAAAGATGAGGAACTATAATGAGGGAGACTGGATGTTTCCCATTAACAGTCTGGGCCTGGGTGGCAGGCACACAGGTTACCCCCTCGCAACTTTGTGTTTCTGTTTGAAATACAGCCATTGTTTCTAAGTTGGCCTCTGATAGGACACACGCGCATATGCACACATGTGTTCTCTGTTTGATGATGGACTTGCAATTTTCACCCCAGGTAAGTATGTCAGGTTGCTTTCCTGTTAATATTGTGCAGGGAAAACCTTGGAGGTAGGCGTACCTACAGCCCTCTGGAAATGCCTTATTCTTTCAAACCCATTAGGCCTCCCTTTCGATGTTCAGCTTTTTTGCTGAAAGGGCACAGCCCAAGAAATCCTCGCCTGTTGACTGTGTTTGTTGTGCAACCTGGCTCTCAGCTATGCTCAAAGGAAGTCCAAATGTTTGCTTCTCAGCTTTGAGGCTTTCCTGAGCAGGTTTCCTGTAGCAAGGCGGGGCCACTGCTTTGAGGCATGGTGTGCTTCCTGTGTGAAGCAAGAGGTTGGTCTCACTTGGTCCTTTGCTCTAGCCCAGCGGGGTTCTTCTCAAGTTCATAAACTCCATTCTACAAACCACAGGCTGTCTCTTCCGCTCCGGAACCGTTAGCCAAGGTGTCCAACAAACAATTACCTTTCAGTCTTCTCCTAACTCAAGAAGCCAAACCCTTGATCCCACATATCATACCCAGGAAGGAAGCAATTTTTTAAAAAACAACAGTCAATCCTTAAAAGGAGCCAGTCCCCAGCAAAAGCAAAACACTTTTTTTTACTGTTCTAAGATTGATTTTCTAAGTTCCTAAATGAAGTTGGTGCTCTGTGTTCCCATTAATAGGTAGACTGCTGTCCTTCCTTCCTCCAAGAGCCACAGGGAGCATCAAAGCATCCTCTCATGTTATCCTCCCAATAACCATGTCAGGCAGCAATGAGCTTCAGGGCTGGGACAGGAGCTTGGGTCTCTCTGATCCTCTTCCAGCTCTCCGAGAGCACAAGACTCCCCTGGGTTTGCTCCTGCCCGTGTGTTGCCCTGAGCAGCATCGAACATCTACTCTCAGAATGCCACACAATGCTTCTGGGCACCCTTTCATGTACTTCCACTCACTGTAATGCTTCATCTAGTGCTACAAAGATGAGTCACAGCTATCTCTGGGCTTTCTTAATTTCTGTGGCTGGAAGAAGTGCAGAAGTTTTCACTTCCATTTCATATTAACTGCAGCTTGCCATGATGTTGAATCTGAAGGAACTGTGGTTGGTTTTAATAGAAATAAACCAACTTCAAATTATCATTGCTGAAGCTGGGCTTGTTTCACTAACCATAGTTAGGGCTAATCACAGTTTAGGGTACAGATGCAATACTTCTCCTCTTATTCTCATGGCAGCACTGGTGAAGCATACAACTTCACTCTTAATGCTAAACTGTAATTCAACATCATGTGCTACTTGGTCATTGTGATTCTTTGCCCCCTTAAAAATCGCTAACTGTTTGGATCGGGATCAACTGTGCTGGCAGAAATGGACTTTCCTGCCCCCTATTTCCCCTTCAGTCCCTTGCAAATGCTGCACAGAGGAACAACAGACCCTGCTACATGGGGCTGCATTGTGTCGTGCTTGGGACAAGGAATCGCTAAGGAGTGGGTGGAGGGACTTACTGTGAATGTGTCCTTCCTCTTGCAGAGGGTCACTTTCCATTGTATGAAGGAACACGTATAGTGTGATCACTTCATAACATGGCAAACTTGAATTAGGCATTGCAGAAAAGTTGGGAAAAACTAACATGAGGCTGATATTTTCATTATATATTAAATTTATTCAATTTATATTCCACCATGCTAGTCTGAAGGCTCTCCAAGCAGATTAGCACCTCCATGTACTTTGTTGACTGCGTGCTTTTCCCCCCCCGTCCCCCCCTCCCCGTGGACTTTATACTGTGCTATCTGTGTGCATATTAATTGATGTAAAAACCTTTGCAAAAAAACAAAATTATTTATTATTTTCTACAGAAACCTGCCCCCCCCCATATGATTATAATCCCACACTATTTTTTCTTCTTTTTGGCAGATGCAACCACCAGTATGCAAAGCTTTGTCCCAACTACGGAGACAACTAACCTCCCATTCATGACAGATAACATCACCATAACTGGTATGTTCCTCCTTTTCATATTGACCATTAGTTGGCTGTAGGGAATCTGTACTACTCTAAAAAAATTAAAATCACCATCAAGTTTGCAGCTTACATGAAGGTAAATTTCAAAGCATCTGATTAAAGATCTTTCCACCTGAAAGCCAAGGTACACACTGAGGAGAGAAATGCTTATCTTTAAGGCTAAGCAGCATTAATCAGTTTCAACTTTCCTACTGATATTTACATTTTGACACAAGGTGATTATTTTGTCAAACAAGTATGCAAATCATTGCTCTCTTTGTTGGAGATAAGTTCTGTTTAGTGGAAGATGTGCAGCTACCCAGAAGACATCATTTCCTGCAAACATTTAGTTTTACACTGATGGTCAAGCCTTGTGGTTGTCTGCTTCCCCTTTCTGTGTCACTTCATGATGAATCTTTCCTAAACCAGTTTGTCAAGTTTTCGCTTTCTGACAAGACAGACACAAAGGTAGTTTCACTCTCCGCTTGCAGGTGTATTTCACAGACAGAAAGAATGAACTCTTTGAGGAAGGCTTACCTGACTTGTGCAGCTTCTTATATTCTTAGGCTGGAATCTTACGCATGTTTAGACAGACAGATTCCTCAGAATCCAGTATATCATCACTTCCTATGTGTAACCTTTTTCTCCACTTCTCTGTGTTGCATATATTTCAGCATATGCTAAACTTGTCATATTGGCCTCCCTAGCTCCATGGACGTCCTTTTCGTTCTCTGCCTTGTGCATCAACTAGAGAGCAAATACAGTGCTGATCCCCATGCCCACCCTTGCACTGTCCTTTGGAAAAATAACATTTGCATTTTTTTCAAGTCTTCCCAGTTGTTTTACTTGTCCTTTTTATTTTTTTGGGTTCAGGGAACAACTGTCTGAAAATGCACTGATACAGATTTCCATTCAGAAGTAAATCACACTGACTTCAGTGATGCTTACTAAGAAACTTGGCATGGGAAGGGGCTGCACTGGCTTTTGGGAACTGCTTTTGGGTGGAGTGAAATGGAGTGGTGGTCCCACCGACTCCAGTGTATGGGAAGCGGGAGGACTACAGAAGGCAGACGGACCACTGCCTCTCCCTCTTCTCTCTCCACCCTTTCCCTTTTTCACGATTTTTTGTAGAGAGTAGTTGTCAATTACTTTTTAAAAAGTTATGCTCCAAAATCTCTGATCTGCACACCAAAGAATAAGGCTTAATAGATGTATGGAGGATTCTTTCTTTCTTTATTAGATTTATATTTTTTCTTTCTTTCTTAACCCAGAGCAGCTTATACCATTCTCCTCCTGTTCTTCATCTTATTTCCACAACAACAACCCTATGAGGTAGATTGGGCTGAGAGTTTGTGTCTGGCCCAGAGTCACTCAGTTGTCTCCATGGCTAAGCAGGAACTGGACCCAGATCGCCTGAGCCCCAGACCCGCACTCTTAAGCTCTACACCACGCTGGTACTTAACCACAACCGTGCACTGGCTACTTAAAGGTCAATTCCCTGCCTGCGTCTCCTTTCCAGCCGCTCCTCCTGCTCTGTTTGCAGTGACACAAGGTCACATTTTCAGCACAGTGGAAACTGAACTCCACTTGCCAGCAAGTGCCCCACTGTAGTACATAGCATTTCGCGTAAGTAGTGTGACCGCACTCCCTGATACACAGACAGGACTTGGGTGTAGCATAGCCTCTGGTCCCATCCATCCACAGTAAAGTGAGATTATTTCTTTATTTGAGTCATCCATTTTATTCCTAATCTGCCCAATAGTCAAAGTTCTTTAGGAAGTTCCCCCCCTCCCAAAAAAACCCCTGTGCTGTATCTCTAATCAAATGTTTGTTTTTTTAAAAAAATCTGCATGTATTTATATAAATTAGCATGTGCTTATTTGATGTGTTGTTTGTGATGCACTTCTTCAGATTAGGTAATTCATAAGTGGTCCCTCTAGATAAAATGGAGGATTTCATGGGAACATGCTTATTTATCTGGCCAGGGCGACTTCTTTTATATTGTTATTTATTTTATATTGTTATTTTTGTATTTTATTTTGTGCTGTGAGCCGCCCCGAGGCTTCGGCAAGGGGCAGCATAGAAATGTTTTAATAAATAAATAAATAAATAAATAAATAAATAAAATGTGTGTGTGGCAGTGGGGAGGCTGATCTGTCAGTGTTATTGTTCAGGAAGGGCACAATGGCAGCTTCTTTTGGGGCGCCTGCCTTTTCTGATGTGATGTGCAGAGCAAGGCCACATCCGGCAGGTTAGCCATGTGCAAAATGAGGTGATTCTCCAGATAAGTGCATGGGCATGTGCCCGGCAAGAATTTGTTTCCGACCTGGTACTGTGCCACTTGCATCAGTTTCAGCCTGGCAGGCACCTCTCTCCGTGTGACAGAAACACAGTATAACATTTCTTTCCTAGATTCCTATTTGTAAAAAAAAAACAAATGGTCATAGGGCTGTTTGTGTTGCTTTTGCAACATAACCAGTAACGGGCATGCTCCAGAACCAGGTGATGAACAAATAATAATCAGGCATATTATATTTGTTTTGGGTTTCTGCTGCAACAATGAAACTGCAGCTCCATTTTTATTTTACTTAGTACGGTCCCTCTGACACAACATATAAAAGAATGTATAAATGAACACTTTAAGGCAAGGCACAAAGCTCAGAAGAAGAGCACATACTTTGAATCCAAAAAGACCCAGTTTTAATTCTCAAAATCTCAGATCAGATGGTGGAGATTCCTGTCTAAAGCTGTTGCCAGGCTCCATCCTATATTCCTGTGAAATATTCATCTTTCAGAAACAACCATAAGAATGATAGCATTTCAATTTGGGTAGTTCTGGGTTAATAAGTATTAAAGGCTGAACAAGTGAATGGAAGTTGTCGTGTGAACAGCTCCTGTGTGCCATCAAGTCCCCTCCAGTTTATGGCTATCCTATGTTCTCATACAACCCCAGTCCTCTGTCAGCTCCACTGGCTTCCCATTGAAGTCCGGGCCCAATTCAAGATGCTGGTTATCACCTACAAAGCCCTGAACGACTTAGGCCCTGGTTACCTAAAGGAGCGCTTACGTCCATATATGCCCTCCCACCCCTTGAGATCGGCGATAGAGGCCCTTCTCCGGGAACCCTCCGTGAATGATATTAGGAGGGTGAGTACCCGGAGGAGGGCTTTCTCTGCGGTGGCGCCCAACCAATGGAATGTGCTCCCCAGAGAGGTCCACCTGGTGCTGTCCTTATTTGTTTTTCGGCGCCAGGCCAAGACCTTTTCATTTAAATGCTATTTTAACTGTTAATGGTTTATTTGTTGGTTTAAATTGACCAGGCTGGATCCACTATTTTATTTTATTATTTATTTGATGAATTTTTTGTATTTTATATGGGATTTTAATGATTGTAAGCCACCCCGAGGCTCATGCGATGGGGTGGCATATAAGTTGTTTAAATAAATAAATAAAATGAAGGTCCTCCAAAATGCCCTGTCCATGACAGCCCTAATCAGCTCTTGTAAATCAAAGTTTGTGGCTTCCTTTATGGAGTCCATACATCTTATATTTGGCCTACCCTTTCTTCTGTTGCTTTTGCTTTTCCCAAGCATGATGGGCTTCTCCAGGGAGTTTTGCCTTCTTATGGTATGCCCAAAGTATGACCATCTCAGTTTTGTCACTTTTCCTTCTAGAGAAATCTCTGGTTTGATTTGATCTAGGGCACCCTTGTTTTCCTTTCTGTCAGTCATGTTGTCACAGATTCATCCTGAGTATCCCACAGTAAGAGAGGAGCATGAGGGAGAGAGCAAGTTCTGGCATTTCAGTGAAGATGTAATGTGTGTTCCACTATTCACAATAAGCTAAAGGAGAGCATTACAATATGGTTGCACTGACTTCCAAGAGATCTGCTGTTCATCATTGGGTCAAAGCAGATGACAAGAATGTCTAATATTTCCTAATCTAGCTTCTGCTATCTGGTCTGACACAGATGATGTTATGTTAGGCAGCATTCTTCATCATGGGCTTTACTTTAGATTGATGGGCTTGGTGAACCTCACACCCAAAGATATTTGGGGACTAGTTAATATAAAACCTTCTTGTTATTGATTGCCCACAGACTGGGACTGTGTACCTAGAACCAGGTAAATTCAATGAATGAAATTCCAGGATAAATGTGTTTGGTAGGACTTCAGTTTCTCATTGCAAAGTTAAGTTGGATAATTCAAAATCAAGGCTTGAAAAACTCCACCACAAAAAGGTATTTGAGTAATAATTTCATCTTTTGAATTACTTTGAATAGATAATTGTTTGATTAGATCTGCATTATAAAACGGTCATCTTTTAATTATTTCCAACAGGCTCTCCTCAAAGCTCCACGAGAAAAAATATCACATTAGTAAGCCCAACTGAACTTGAACTGCTGTGTAGTTTGCCTCTTAGGTCTTCCATGGAAATGGAAAAAATTGAGGTTGTTTGGAAAATGGGTAACACAACCATCAAAGAGGACACCATCAACAGGAATGAAACCAAGACTAAATGGTGCACTCGATATACGTGAGTGGGTTTTAAGATTTGCCTAGCATAGGTGTAAATATGGGGAAGAGGAAAATGATGAAGGCAAAGTATCTATCCCGAGAGTCTTGGTCCAGCCAAGGTGCTTCACTTTATATGTGTGAAATCTAAACAAAAGTGTCTGTGTCAAAGGTGATACACAGTTTATTGAATACAAGAATGAAATATTCATGCAGAGTATAAATAAGCAAAAAAGTCCTACGTTTCCCATAGTTACGCCCTCTTCAAATGCAATGCTTCATAGAAGCCATTTAATCTTGCTTTTATAATACAGTCTTTAAAAACTCTGCTGAGAAGGTCATAATATGCTGGAAAATGAACTAAGGATAAAGAAAGCAGTGTCGATGCACCTGCCTGTGATGTATGGCCTGTCGGTTTCGTTTACTTCCTGTCTATATCCTATTTCCTATCTGTATAATTTACTTCCTTTCTGCATTGTATGAGCTCTGCTTGAAGAATGGTGAGGTTATTAAGGTTTAACGGGGAGTGTAGTGAACTGTCCTAGTGTTCAAAAGCCAAGATAGCTTCTTGGAACTGTGCCAAGACCTTAGGTCCTTCAACTTGTTAGGGAGTGCACCAGTGGAATTATTATTAAATTATTCTGGAGATAAGGGATGATTTGGCTGTGAGAGCGAAACTGTTTCCTGATTGAAGCAGCTTCACTGCCTTCCATCCACCATCAAATTTCATCCATTACTAGTTGATCTGTGATGGCTCAGTCTTATTAAGCCTTTCAGCCATCAATTGTTGAACCTACCTCTGTTTGAAAATTATGTCATCTTCCATAAATATGAAATATCAATGTTTTAGATATGTTGGTTTCATCCTATTGGTTTTTGTTTTTAGTTTTGTAGTTTAAACTTGCTTTTATAATACCATCTAAAAGTTAGTGATGTAGTAACAATTATGTAACTATTCTTTTAAGAGTATACGTCAAGAATAAAGACCAAATGGGAGATTACACTTGCATTTTTAAAACTAAGCAGGAAGTAAATGCTACATTCCATTTACAAGGTAAGTCCCAGATTTTGTTTCTTTAATGGTCATACTTATTCCTATCGAAATCTCATGGTTCAGTTTTGGATAGATGTGTTGATGGCCTCTGTGTTGATTGGAGCATACCAATATAACCTTATATTTCTACATGTATTCTAGGTGCAGGTGGAGTACACGTAGGTGACAAACTATGGAAAGACTGAAAAACAGCTTTTCAAATCTTTTAAATTAAAACAAAGAATGGCTAAGATGCAGTCTATAACATTAATATACTGTGAGAGTTTATCAGAGCCTGACTTAGAATTGACTCCTGGGAGATCTGTATAAAGTTTGCATGCACAAATTACCTGAATAGATGCAACTGTAGACATAATTACTACAATTTAAATAATAGTACATCTTGCCATAGTGAGGAAGACAGCCATCCCGTGCTGCTCCCATCACCGAGTGTGAGAAAAAGTGTTTGCAAGCTAAATTTTACCCTTTTAGGGCTGCATGGCAGCTGCAAATACCATGTTTGCTTTAATTTTAATGAATTATTCAGGGGTGATTGGCTCTGGCTTGCTTTCAAAAATAGGAGGGGAACGCGTCTTTCTTGCAGTGTCCCCTGGGATATAAGAGCAAAATGACTTCCAGTCCCCTTCATATATAATGACACGGTCACATCATGCATCATTTGTTCATTCTGTCATGTTGTCTCCTTACTCACCCTTTTCCTGAGCTAAACAATTCTAGATGTTGCAACTCAGGCTCACAAAGTCACACGCTGGCAAGCAGGGACTTGTGTCTTTCCGCTCTCGTGCTTTTCCAGTGCTGTCACAGGTGGAATTCTGAATTGGGACATAACTTTCAGACATGCTCCTTGCTAGCATCCACTGGTGTGTTCCCAGTCTTGCCTACAGTTTGCACATGAATTTTCATACAGACCTTGATTTAAAGAGACTTGTGTACCCTAACTAAGGATGTTTACTCAGATATTAATCCTGTTTTTATTAGTTGTCTTTAACTGCAAGGAATATGTTCAGGACTTGCTGAATATGTTCAAGTCTGTAGCCTTCTGTAGACATAACCCCAGTGAGATAGGGTGTGGATACTATTTCCAAGGAAATGTATCCTGTTAATTTCATGCTTGCTGATTCAAGTATAGAAATAATTTCCCCATCTAATGCACACCTTAGAAATCTATGTATTTATTACAAGTGCAATGAAAAATTAGTGAGGACAGCAGTTTTGCTTATTATGTACGTAAACTGCAGTGTATATACATTACAGACCATTTGATATGTCATTTTACAAGTGTTCTCTGTCTTTTTCTCCCCTTAGTACCTGAAATACACATAAAATCTGAGAACATAATTACTTACGTAGGTTATTCTGTGATCATGACATGTTTCGTTGGCAATGACACAGTGCATTACAACTCCTCTTTTTGGACTTGGTATAAAATTAATGGAAGTGAAAAGGTAAAATCCCATTTTTTAATTATGGAAAATGTGTTTTAATTTTTTTCTGGTATAAGGCTGACCCAAAACTTAATTTTAATGGTAATTACTTTGATCAAAATTCAAATGTTAAGGTGAACAGCTGTACATTCAGATAGAATAATACTGGTCTTCATTTAAATTGGTATTGATGCAAGGGACTGGAAATTGGCTGTGGGACCACAAACAACTTCTGTGCACCCTAGTAAGAAAGAATGAGCACTGGCTGCAGGGTGGATGTGCTTCTCTTCATGAGCATCCTTGATCAAAGGGCTATAAGCAGGATTGAGGTAGGGCAGCCCATCACAGACAGGTTCCCATCCATTAGCTCTGTTTGTATCCCTTCTCCTCTTCCAAGAACAAAAATTGCACCTTGAGGAAAGGTACCAGAGAGCCAAACCAGGCATCGCTTTGAATGGCTGTCTACTTTAAGACCAGCAGCTTATCTGTTGTTCATTGTTTTTACTTTAGATGAGGTATTGAGGGGCAATCTGGATCTGAAAAGCCTGTCCACCTTCCTTGTACCAGGCCCTGTTCCACATTGGTCCCTGTACCTGCTCTAGAATAAAATTTTTGCTCTGGGGAGAAATGGAGCTCCTAGGTACACATTTAAAGGAATGTCTTTTTTGGCCCAGAGGAGGGCAGGGAATGCCTAATGGCTCCCGGCAGACCCAACACCAAAATTGATCACTGAAAATTGGATGGAGGCACCTTTGGTCGGTGGAGCCCTTTCATTCCTAGTAGATGGATTCCAAATCCAATGCATAGGACATCTTTCAATAATTGCCACCCCCAACCATGTGGGTTGGTCTACAACTTTCATGATTTGGCTGAGGACCATGGGAGATGTACAACATGGCTGGAGCACCATGCATTGCAGCAAAGGAACATATTGGCTGACGTACAAACACCTAAAATAGGTGGACAATCAGATACTCATGGTTCATGCCCTTTTCTCCTTTTCCTTCTGAATCTCCATTGCATATTTGTATTTTTCCTATGAGTATAATTCATCCATCCCTGAATCTAAAATCAGCATGCCTAAATTTCAAAAGTTGTAGGAGTTCCTTGTCTGAGCCCTAGCTGAGATTTTGACACTGGCTTTTCCCTCCCCTCAGGTTGCTATTAATAGCAGTATAATGCCAAAGAAGTATGATATTACCCCAAAACATGGCAGCATATCCAAACTGAAGATCTCAGAACTTTCTGAAGATGACAGTGGCTTTTACTACTGCGAAGCCAGATATCCACCTGGTGAAAGCAATGGGAAGGTGTCCCTCAAAGTTCTCACCTACATGGCACCACTCAAACCATTCCTTGCAATAGCTGCTGAAGTTATTATTTTAGTTGCCTTTATTTTCATCTATGAAGTATGCTCCAAGAGGAAAGATGTTCATGCCGGTAAGACAAATGGACTTTATTATGTGTTACTTTTATTTTTAAAGGCATGTATTTATATATATTATATGTTGGGAAAGACTACCCTATAGCAGCAGCTGCCATTCTTTTGAAACCTAAGAACCAGTCATTACTAGACTCCTATCATAATTTGTGGATCCCTTCTAAGCTTCATGATTTAACAAAGCCCGATTGGATATGCTTGAGACTAAGTTAGTTACACTTAGTAGCTTCAGGTTTAGCCAGTTGTTTTCATTATGATCTGTATGGATTATTTAGTTGTATTATTACAGTTTGATACTTTTAATAGAAATTGTTTTAGCTATTGTATAGTTTACATAATTTAATAATTTGTTGAAAGTTGCCATGGGGTTTTTTAAAGCTCAAAATGACTAAAAAGTAAACATAGTATTGTTATCATCCTCCTCCTCCTCACTGAAAAGACTTCCCTTTAAGCCAAACCTAAAGTTTAACCTTGATTGCAGTATGGAGTTGATTGAGCTAAGGGTGTGAAGTGGCAGGGGAACTTTCAATTCCAAAATCCTGCCAGCTTATGTGAAGCAGTGGAAAGAGGGATGGTTTTCTCTGGAAAGTTCTCTGGTGGTCCTTCCCCTACCATTTCCTTCTTCCTTAATTAAATATGTCAGCTCTAGTTTTTGGACCATTTCAGAGATTTGAGGGATTTTGGATCCAGTGGATTGAAGGCTATCCCCAACTCATCCTTGGAACACCTGTTTCAGGATAATTTCAATGGAAATACTACTGTGATAAATTTATGCCATTAGCATTTTCCGAGGGAGTACTAGAGGCCACCAGAAATACCCTGCCAGCAGAGAGGTGCATCTACCTCATCCTAAGCCCCTCAAGTCAGATCTATGGGTTAGCTTTGTTCACTTCAACTGGAGCCAACCATTTGCTTTAAAATGGTAAGTATAGAGATGAATTTTAGGTGGCATGCTAGGTACAGCCCAGCTTATTGGATTATTACCGACCCGTCTCCACTATTCCATTCTTGGAAAAGGAATTAGAGATTGTACTGTCCTCCCCACACTAGGAATTCCTGGATGAAACAAAGTGTCTAGATCCATTTCAGTCTGGGCTCAGAACTGGTTATGGGTTGGAAACAGCCTTGGTCACATTGGTGGATTACCTGGGAATTACTGTGTCCCTGTTGCAAGTTCCGTTGGCACTTCCATCGGCTTTTAATATCATGGAACATGACATCCTCTTCCACTGCCTTGCTGGAATGGGAATCAGAGACACTGTCTGACTGTGGCTCCATTCCTTTCTGGAGGGACTGTCCCAGAAGGTGGTGTTGAGGCACTCCTGGTAATCTCCCTGGCCAGCAGCCTGTGGAGTTCCTCAGGCTTCTGTTCCATCCCCTTTGCATAGTATTATGTAGGACATAAAGAGCACAGTTTCCATCTTGGACAAGTCATTGCATTCCTGGTTAAAGGAAATCTTCTTGTAGCTGTAGGATTCACTTCCAAGATGGTAAAGGTTCCACCCTTATACCCACCTACTTGGAGCAAGCCCTATTCTACTCAACAGGGCTTACTTCTGCAGAGATGTATGTAAGATTGCACTGTACATTGGGAATTTTCCAAAACAGTCATAGACTTCTCGCTAGGTCAATACCTAGGCACCTGAAAGTTTTGCCCCACCTCTCCACTGTATCTCAGACCACCATTGCTTTTACTTTGTGTCAAGAGCCATTAAGTATGGAGCCCATTGCCCTGTTGATTTAATGTGATAAAGATCTTATGTCCATGTTATTGATGTATTTGATGCAATTACAATCACAGGTTTTTCTTTGTTTCACAGAACCTGAAAAAGAATTTGACCAGACAGAAACACTGTAAGTCATCATTTACTCTATATTTTTAGACAATATATTATAATGTCAAAAATGTAATATAATAAATTGATATAATAATGCAAAATAAATTATAATGTAAATAAATAACACAGTGTTTAAATACTGTGAGGGAATCTAGCTCCATTAAAATCCAGGCATGTTTAGCCATGGCTTGTTGGATTCCATCCAGCACCCATTTCCATTTGGAGGGGGCAGGGAGAAACCTCTGGCCAGTTTGCAACTAAGGGCACAAAGCAGTGGGGAAGCCCATTAGCCTCCAAACTTGGGAGAATTACAGCTATCTTGACGGAGCATAGAGGCAACAATTACCGCAGCTGGGAAGGTGGCACTTTTGCTTTATTAATACCTAACTATATCCTGAACAGGAGTAACCGCTTTCAAAGAAGGAGGAATTGCTCCCAATTATGGTCAAGCTTGGGTTAATGATGTCATTTTATAGATTGATTGATTGATTGATTGATTGATTATATTTATATCCCACCTTTTTTCCTTCAAGGAACATGAGGCAGTTAACATCATCCACTTCCTTTCAAACTTATCCTCACAACAACCCTGTGAGGTAGGTTAGCTAAGAGTCCATGACAGGCCCAAAGTCACCTGGTGACTTCAGTGCCCATGTGGGAACTAGAACCCAGATCCTAGTCCAGCAATCTAACCACTGCACTACACAGTGGAATATTAGCCACTGGGATAATGGAAAACCTAGTTAGAGATGACAACTCCAGATACTGGTAAAATGAATTGCCATGAAGTAAGGGACTGATGTTAATTCCATTTCTCCCATACAGGAAATCAGAAGACAGCAATGGTGTGGAAAACAGTACTACCCGGCACAGAAAAGTGTAAATGTTTTGCAGAAAGGTGGTAAGTTCAAATTCCATTTGAGAGATTTGTGAGATGGCTACAAAGAAATGAGGAAAGATATTTTGCTCTGCTTCAGGTCAGTCTGTTGGTATTGTAGTTTTGGATATGACTCAGTCCAGACCAAACTGAAATGACTGGGGAAGTATGTTTTTTAAAAAAGGAATAAGTTGATATTACATCATCTCAAGACTCATTTTGGAGATTTCTTTTCCAACAAAAGAATAGGATTTCATGAATTGCTGCCTTGGTGTCTAGTTGATTAAAAGTGATTACAAAGTAAACCATCGATTGGGAACCAAAGAGAAGAAGCAAAAGATCAACCCCTGAATGCAGAACATGACTCTGTGGGCATGCCCTTAATTTTTCTGATAGGCATGATCCTTACTAAACCACTCTCGTTCCATTAATCTGGAGTAGGATTTAATCTGCTCTATCTGGCTGGAGGACTTGCTGTTTTATATTATTACCCTCCCCAACTCTGTATACATCTCAAAGTTTTCACACCCATCTCTTCTCATTTCTTCTCCCCTTCTTTTTCCTACTTAACTTGTAACCTATCCATCCACCCTGTTAGTTCCTTTAATCCCTCCATCATATTGGTTGGGCTGAAGCCCTGTGCCCAACCTGAGTAAGATGGTGGACTGAGACATGCTGTTGGTCCCTGGCCCACAATTTGAGAGATGCTGTCCTAGAGATTTAAGAAATGGACATTAATCAGTAATCATAAGTAAGGTGGCTGTTTATGAAGGCAGGACAAAAGAAGACAGTGGCTTGCATAATATTTGCATATGCCAATTTGTATGCACAAAAGTAAATGTAGAAATAATCAGTGTAATTTATATAGATACACTGTATTTGTGTATAAATTATAATACTAATTTCTAAATTTGCATTTGTCTGCATAGATGACTTGTGGAAGGCTGTGATGAGGTGACCTCTATGGCTGCCTGTCCAGTCTATTGCCCATGTGCTAACTTGAAACTGGAATCAGACAGGACTGCCTTTTAAATCGAGGACTGTCCTTCATAAAAAGGGGCACCTAACCACCCTAAATGTTATTTTGCATTAACAGCAGTGCTAAATATATTTTAATATGTATTCTGTTTAATTTAGGTAAGGCAAAGGAGACAGATGGCTATCTGTCATACCAGAGAACTTCAAGAAGATTTAAACGGTGGAACCATAGCTATTCTGCTTCTGACTGTGGCCTTTTCAGATGCATTAAGCAAAAAATAATACTGCTTAACATGCCTTTTTTTAAGTAAGAAATTTATTAAGTGATGCGGATGTCTTTCCCATTGTCATTCTGGGCTGAACCTGCACTGCTGTATGCTTTCCATTGTTTATACTCTGTTATACCTGTCTGAGTGTTTTGGGTCTAATTAGCAATAATGTTGAACCAGCCATTATCCTGAATGTATATGTGTGATATCAGTTTTGCCAGGCACTAGTTCAGGCTTCCACTGGTTCTACTGTGTCAGCCATGATTGAGGAGCAAAAATAAGACTGACACTTGCATTGACAATTTTAGTTTCATATTGTATTCTAGTTCTTCAGTTTCTTAAGTCTAGAACCAATTAATGAAAGAAAGGCCTGATGACACACACTTCTACTGCTGAAGACATTTTGTGTAGATCAGGGTCTTCCTTAGAACTTTGAGAGTCCCCTCCTTTCGTTTTGTAAAGAAACAAGTTGCCAGCCCTCAAGTTTAGAGAAAATATTTGAATGTTAGAATAGTAAATGCAAGGCTCAGTGACTGAAAACATACAACAGGCCACAACTTTGGAATTTTAAATGATGATGTTTAAGCCAAAGGAATAATTTGTAAACATATTAATGTAGAAGAATTGTAGAACAGTAAGGCCATCAGGTCCAAACCCCTTCTGTTTCAGGTCACCAGATGAAGGTTCTTGGTTGGTCTGTCCAACTGTCCAACTTTTCTGCTGCGAGTGGGTCACAGATTGTACAGACAAACAATGAGCCCTGCTAATTACAGGCTTCTCTGCACGAGGCATTCATGTGGGTTTGATCCATCTCTCAGGGAGGTTTGCAGGGCCTTTTCACAATGTTGCCTCTCTTGTGCTTTTCAGCCATTTTTGCAACATTTTTTTTAGTGCAAGGAAAGCCTGGTGTTTTCCTAGATGGTGCCATTATTCACTTCGGAAGCCTAGTATTTCTACAAATCTTTTGTATATCACAATGCCACTCTGGGTTGTGTCATCAAACATATAGAAACATGGGGAAAGGTGGGAGGAATCCCGCTGGAAAAACTGTGAAGGGCACTCTAACCCTTCTGCGAAGAAAATGAAAGAAGCGGGCTTAGTAAGGTGCCCGGTTATAAGTTTCTTGTAGAGAAGTTCTGGCAGTTTGTTTGTAGCCTTACCAAAGAGATGGAAAAAAACCAACATTCTCTATTAAAATCAGTGGTGTCACATTTCCAAGGTATTTTGAACACAGTTTAAGCATTTTCCATTCTTCTGATCATAGCTATAGATTCTGGCATCCTGAAATCAGTATTTTCTAATTTGTTGAGCAAATTCCCACAATGAATAAAGATCTGACAATGCATTATTAAGCGGCAACTCTTTAGGTGGTCTCAGTGATTTTATTAGTCTTGCACTAAAAACAAACCCACCTATTTTGCTTTAAATGTGGTTAAACAACTAGCACCCACCTTAAGTACCGTATTTTTCTCTCTATAAGACGCACCTGATCATAAGACGCACCTAGTTTTTAGAGGAGGGATCCATGGAAAACTTCCTGATAATCACAGGCACATTCCCCATCACTTCCCCATGGGCTTCATTAAAAGACGGGTTGCCATTTGAAAACACACACCGACCTGTGATTAACGGCTCTCACCTGTGCCGGAGGAGGGGGGCGGAGCAGGGTGCGCCGAGTGCATTCCGGCCAGGTGTGCAGCCGGGCCGGCAGCGTGCCAGCGGTGGTCTTCCGGGCGGCACAGTGGCAGCAGCAGGTCTTCCCGGGCGGTGGGGGTGAGCACTCCGTCTCGCCGTGCTCTCCATGCGGCCGGCGGGTTAAAGCCCGCGGCTCCTCCTCCTCTGCACCTCTCCCCCTGAGCGGCACAGCTCTCACCTGCGCCGGAGGGAGAGGGTGGAGCAGGGCGTGCCGAGTGCGTGCCGGCCAGGTGGTGCCACGTGGTGCAGGCGGCCGGCAGCATCCAGGCGTTGGGCACACACACATTTGCTCTATAAGACGCACAGACATTTCCCCTTACTTTTGAGGGGGGGAAAAGTGCGTCTTCTAGAGCAAAAAATACGGTAATCTTTTTGGGTGTCTTCTTCAGTGAAAATTGGATGAAGAATTGGCATGATCCAGGCAGAGTTTTTAGGAGACATTTGCCCCTTTTGGAGCAATTGGAGCTATCACACAACAGAAATTCATGTTCCCTGTTTTGGAGGTTATACATCACCCCAAGGAAGCCTCAGATGGAGTTGGTTCATGGGCTACTGCACTTCACTAGAAGCTGCTGTTGCCCCTCTTCTTTCATCTCATGCTAAGGATGGCTCCCTTGCAGCCTCCTGTTCCTCAGCCATGCAGGAGTATGAGACTGCTGAAGCTAACCCTTTAAAAACTACAAGGAACATCCAGCAGAGGTGGAGCCTCTTCTTAAGGCCTCAGCTGTCTTCTGTCCTTTGCTGAGACAACAGTTCCCTCTAGGAGACTACTCTAGCACCTCTGCAGGGCACTGTCCAAGGTTCTGTCTCTTTTCCAGCATTGCTTAACATGAATCAACAGACTATCAAGGACCACTGTGTCATTTAGTTCCCCCAGGCCAAATGCTTAGCTAGGGCAAGACCGATGTTTCTAGCTCCATCCCAGCATGGGGCACATTGGTGGCTTCATCCCAAGACTTTGATGTGTTCTCATGGACTGTCTGCATTGAGATAGCTTATGCACCAGAAATTGGCAGACATCCTCTCTCATGCATGGATATCTGAATGCAGGGGCAGGGGCATGACCCACTCCTAGTTTTCACATGGCACCCCCTTGGCATGATGGAGCTATGAAGAGGGTTAGTGACAAGAAAGCTTGTCATATATGTCATCCTTTCAAAATGGAACCCACCAAACTTAATTGTGTATAACTGTGGCTTGATTAACCCAGTTGAAACCATCTGCCATCTAATAATGGAGCACACAAATGCTCCAAAACCTTCCATTGCAACACGTTGAAAGTTACAGAATTGGTCAAGCCCAGCATTCTCTGATCTGGTGCCCTCCAGGTAAGTTGGGACAGAGCATCCATCGCCTTCATAGACAGCATGGCTGTCACCCATACTAGCTGGGGACAAAGGGTCCTGTAGCCCAACAAATCTGGAGGGCAAAGGCTGATCTAGCTTTATTCGGTGCATGGGTAAATGTGAAGGAAAGGGAATGCAAGAGCTGGACTGGCTCCAAAACCTGTTTATTTGCCATTCATGTCCAGCTCCAGTACATTGCACATCTGCAGAACGACATCGGAAGAAAATATGCTATCATTCCAAACTAAGCAAATACGCTTCTGAACCTGAAATAGAAATACGTATTACCATATTATTGAGGATGCATAAATGTCTTAAAACAACCTGTATTATATAATGTAAGCAGTGAGTTTTGCTGGTTTTGCTGCAGTGAGCTCTGGAGAGTTCAAAATATTGGATGATTCAAAACTCATGTACTATGAAGACTATTAAACATCTATTTCTGATTTCTGTATATCAGGTTTGTGTCTGCGTAAAAGTGTAAATGGAGGGGCAATGAGAATGAGTTGCAGATGATAACATAAAGAGACTGTTGTAACGCAAGTGCTAGATTGGCCCTTCAGAGGACTGAGGGGAGACATTTTGCTGTGTTAGAGTTCATTCTATGTTCTGAAGCCAGCTGGACTGGCTGTTGACTTTCTTACTCATTTCCTCCTTCGTGTGGCCCTTGCAAGACACCTAGGAGCAACCATGAAGTTCCAGCTGTGGTTGGGCATGGCTAGTCACAAAGGCCTGACAACCTGCCTACTGGTATTCATGAGAAATTAAGATGGTAGCAGCGAGAGACTCCAGCTTCCCTTTGATGGAATACCAGCTGCCAGTCAGTGAATACAGAAGGTGCTGAGGCTGCAGTGGTACCCAAGTGCGCTACGTTGCACATCCTGGCCTTCCGCAGTAGCTTCATTCATGGGGCCCGGTTCAGGCTGCATGACCTACAGAGCTCTGTCCTACAGCCAAAGGGACTAGCTTGAGGGCCCTGAGTGAACTGCCAGCAAGTAATCACAAGCATGCAGAAGCACCTTGGCATGTGTGTGGGATGAGACGAGAAATGGACTTGAAATGGGTCCTAAACATGCGGTTCCTCTCCAAACTGGGCTACAAGTGCTGCACACACAGAGCCCTGATAGAAAAGCATCGAAAGCACGGAGCAGCTACATACAAGGTGAAATAGAAGGTCTACCCCATCTTCCCTGCTAAACACTTAATTGACATCTTAGCAGGCTACATGTTCTGGGCTGCATTTTGTTTTCGGTGTTAACACATAATTGTTATTATAACGTTCCTCCCTGTTCAATTGTTCTGGCCTTATGTGATATTGATCAGGTGAGAGAGACGAGCAGCAAGGTACTGGTTGGCCACAAGCTGCTTCCACATCCTTGGTGCCCCCCCCCCCGCCCCGCAACCACACATACATTAGCAGGAAGTTTTTATTTGGGGAACTTCTATGCATGCACGATTACAAAACCATGTGTGGATCCTCTATAGCAAGCCTAGAGAACTCCCCTTTTAACTTCAGGATCGCCAGCCTCAGTAAGCCAGAATACATATGTTGTTTTCACTAAAATTTGAAAGAAATATATTCCATGCCACTGCTTAAGGTAAAGTGAGCCAGTGTGGTGTAAGGGTTAAGAGCCTGGGACTGGGACTCAGATGATCTGGGTTCTAGCCCCCGCTCAGCCATGGAGCCAGCTGGGTGACTTTGGGCCAGTCACAGATTCGCAGCCCAACCTACCTCACAGGGTTGTTGTGGGGGTAAGATGGAGGAGGAGAATGATGTAAGCTGCCTTGAGCCCTTTGTCGGAAAAAATCAGGATATAAATCAAAAAATAAATACTTAGCTTGACATACCTATGGCAGCTTCTGTTGGATTGGGCTGAACCTTGGCACAGCTGTAGACTTCAAGTAGTGATTAGATGCCACCTTTCAGGTTAAGAGCACATCAGGTGTAATTTTTATACACAATAGAAATTGGAGGCTCACATTGGTGTAACCGTCTTTTGCAATTTGCCTGAACTAAAGAGTAAGGCTGGTAGGCTCCATGAGGTTTGATTTAATTAAGGTTAGGGTTAACCCTAACCCTTGAATGAATGGAAACAAGCTTTTTGTACATCCTTGCTAAAGGAGCACTCCTTTAGTTAATAGTTAATAGTTAAATGTAACTAATGGTGACATTGTTAATAAAGAACATACCACATTTTGTTTGGAGAAACAAACTCTTCTTTAAAATTCTGACTGCAAGAAATATAGGGAAAGGGAAAGCAGACTTTTGAGGCTGACTGGACAGTAATGAAGTAGAAATTGTTGTTTTGATTTTCCTTGAGAGGAAAATGAAGGACAAAAGAGGTAGTGAAGAAGGCTGTAATAAAACTTAATTTACAATCTGTCATTCTGGGCAAGCCAGCTTCTGATTATTTTGTAGGAAGAGAAAATCAATATCTCCAGCTGACTGGTTTTTAATAAAACAAGGAAATATGTTTAATGATTTCAAACGTGCCAGTTCTTTTACACAGAATTAAATGAAAATCATATGAGGACTTATGTGAACAAGCATGCATGCAAGTTTTATTTCTTTATAAGCAGTCTTTCCTCCAAAGACAGACAGACAGACAGACTGACTGACTGACTGACTGACTGACAGGAAACTGTTATACTTAAAAAAAGGACCATTGATTTGAACTGTAGGCCATATCATTTCCACAGTTTCCATTCCGGTACTTATAGATCCAGAAATGATGAGCTTCAGCAAGGTTGGTTTAACATGAATTCATATCGTAAATTTGACTCCCCCCCACTCACAAACCAGAGCTTGGCAAACTTCTTTTTGTGTGTGGGAGGAGGGGGAATGGCATAAGGCTTTCTTCATTTCCCATCACAAGCTTTAGCTTCTCACAGCTCACACACAAGTAAAGTTGCTCACAACTGCTTTTATACTTATTTTCTTTTTTTTCAACCAAACACCCAATTGGTTTTCATGCTGTTGATAACCCAGATCATTCTTCATCTTTGCTTGCTTATGTAGATGCTATTAATTGGTGTATTATTCTTATTGGGATGCTTTATTTCTTCTATTACATTCTATACACCCCAATAACGAAAGCTCTCAGGGCAATTTACAAAGATAAAACTCCTTAAAATGCAATATTTAAAAATGCATAGAAACATATAATCAGACAATGTGCCTATGTGTATGTACACTTACATCTATCTAAAGCTTGTGAACAATAAACAGGAAGAAATCTTTATATGTTGCCAAATGCCTGAGACTAGAGGAAGGCTCAACCTGGTGCTGAAATGTTGGGGCCAGGCAGGCCTCACTGG